GAGAAGCATTCTAGGATAGTAAAGACAAATGTGAGGGAAAGAGAAAAACTGCCCAAGACTTTGGGTGCTCAATGGAGATTACTTGTGCAATATTGGGTGAATGTTTGCCCTGTATTTTTTAAACAGACACACCTGTGAGCCTAGAAGGGACGCTACCTCCATCAGATGTGTTTACATTTTAATGGGGAAAGTCACATTGGTCAATCATACTCCTTTCCCAGATAACTGAAATAAAATTCCGCAAAGCTGAGTCAGATGGCAACCAGACAGAAAAACAAAAACAAAAACAAAACAGGTTGTAATTAGACTTATCTGTATTTTATGGGACATATTCTACCTTTGTTTGTACACATTAGGTGGCTTCTGGACTGAGATCGTAAACTTCTACTACTCAAAGCCATGGGCCTGCCTGGTTCCTGGACTTTGTCAAGCCTCACTGATCAGCTTTTTCTTGGGTTCCGTGATACTTGAACCTTTAAGACGTCTTTTGACTTGAGTTGATTTGGATCATGGAGGCAGTGATTAGTGTCCTCCAAAATTTAATGTTCACCCAGAAGCTTAGGATATGAGCACATTTGGAAATAGGGTCTTTGCAAATGTAATAAGTTAATATGAAGTGATACTGGAAGGGGATGGGCTCTAAATCTTGTGCTTAAAGGGAATGAAGAGAAAAAAAGTCTTTAAAAAAAAGGTGGGGGATGAAGAGGACACAGAGGCACACAGGGAGAAGGCAGGCATGTGAGTTTGGAGGTAGAAGTTGTAATTAGTAAAACCTTCCAGAAGTGATGATGACCATTTGACGAATCCAAAGATCCAAGAATTACACTTGAACATGGAAGGCAGACCTTCCCAGATACACTCCACTTCTGAGACATTCAGATTTAAAATGGAAAGAAGTGCCAAAACAAGATCATGAAATTGATGTATATTTTAAATTCTTACATACCATGTTCAAGGCACATTAATAAAATTCAACATGATACCATTTATAACAAATATTCAGGGTTTATTGAAAATGTTAATGCATTTGGACACAGATAGCACAGCCCAGGAGTGGGATACATGTTTAAAGCTGTTGGATTTTCTTTCTTTTTTTTCCCAAATGTTTTGTATGTTTTTTTTATTTGTTCCAGGTGAGGTTTGAACTATCACTTCCCTGCACAGTGGATTATTTCTGGGCCCACACGAGGAGTTCTGTTGAATGTTCTTTCTTAGGTCCGCTACCCAGAAGTGAACTTTGGGTAAAAATCTGAGTGCAAATGCACGGCCCATTCCTCTCCCTCGCTCTTAAAGGAGAAACCTCACGTTGTGCATCTTCTCTTGATCATGGCACATTTATAATAAGCCACTCTCAGTTCATTGTTTTTGGTGGTCCTCAATTGACTAATCTATGCTGATTCCATCATTGTTCTATATAAGGCAAGATAGAATCCAGTCCCTCAACCATCCAAGATGTCAGGACACTTAACGTATGCTCCACTCTCTCCCATCAAGGGAGAGGTCATGAACCCAGGGCTCTCCCATAGCACAGAGCCATGCCAGCTTGAGAGAGTGGCTAATGTGGACAAAGTGAAATTGCTCTTCTGTTTCGTGTGACAGTTTTTAGTGTTGTGCTCACTTGGGGTACTGCAACTTCTTAACTCATGGGGTACTCTGATGTATAATTCAAGCAGTTAGAAGCAAAACCAAGAGATGTCATCAGAGAGGCATACAGAAATGGTTCACAAGATCTGAGGGGGTCTCCACGGAACAGGCATATGGCTGGAAATTATATCTATCATTTATATTTGAAACCCCTCATGAATATGAGGTGTCATGCAGCTTCTCCATCTGCCTATTCCTAATCCTAGCATGATGGGACTTAGGACAAACTAGATGGCCATTCATGATCTGTGACTTTAGCGCAGTCAATGAAACTAATTTTTACTCCCAAACTTCTTTTAATTTAATTTTTATTTTGAGAAAATTATAAATTCACACATATTTGTAAGAAATAATGCAGGGAGATCTCCTGTAAACTTTGCCCAGTTCCCACAAAGGAAAACATTTTGCAAGTCTACAGTATAATATCGTAACCAGGAGATCTGCATTGATAGTCAACATGCAAAACAATTCCATCAGGAAGAATCCCTCATGTTGCCTTTTATAACTGTGCTCACTGCTCTCCTTCCTCTGGATTCCCTCCTGAACCTGTACTTTAGTCTCCTTTTCTCTATCTGCATCACTTCAAGAATGTTATATAAATGGGGCTATTTGGTATGCAACTTTGGGGTTTGCTTTTCTTCACCCTGCCTAATTTTTCTGGAGATTCATCCAAATTGCTGCGTCTATCAGTGGTTCTATTTTATTGCTGCCTAGTGTTCCGTGGTATGGATGCACCCATTCATATGAATGTTTATTCACCCATTGAAGGAGCACCGCGTAGTTTCCTGTTGGAATTACTATGAATAAATAACTATGAACATTTCTATATACATTTTTGTAGGAGGGAAAGTTTTCATATCTCTGTCATCAGCCCTGAGAGTAGAATGGCTTTTTAAATAAACTATCAAACTGTTTTCCAGGGTAGCTGTGTAATTTTACATTCTCACCAGAAACGTATATGCGAGCCTCTCATTCCTCATCCTAACCAGCATTTAACATTGTTACTACTTTTCATCTTATTTATTCTGATAGGTATATGGTAGTATAGCATCCTTGTTTTAATGTGTATTATCCCAGGAGCTAATGAAGTTGAAAATATTTTCATGTGCTGATTTGCCAGCTGTTTATCATCAGAGAAATGTCTGTTTATGTTTTTGCCCATTTTCTAAATGGAAATTTTTTTTTTTACTTTTAAGTTTGGGGTGTGTGTGTTGTGTGTGTGTGTGTGTGTGTGTGTGTGAGTATTCTGGATACTAACACTCTGTCAGATTATGTGGTTTGCAAATATTTTTTCCCAACCTATACCTTCTTCTTCATTCTCTTAACAGGGCCTTTCACAGACCAAAATTCATAATTTTGATGAAATTCAACATACAGTTTTTCCCTTAATGGATTATATCAAGTTAAGTTTCCTTGCCTCACACTACATCCTAAAGATTTTCCTCTATTTTTTTAATTCTTAAAAGTTGTATACTTTTATATTTCACACGTAAACCTATAATCCATGTGAGTTAATATTTATGGAAAGTGTGAGTTTTGTTCTTTTGCTTTCACAGGTTCGATTGCTCCAGCACCATTTGTTGCAAAGGCTATCCCTAATCCACTGAGTATACTTCCCTCCCCACTCCTTGTGGGGTCACCAGGGTTGGCTGACTCCCCCCACTGCAGGCCATAGCCCCTAGAAGGTGGTTCTCCATAGTTCTCTCTCCAGATTTTGTTATTTTTCCCTCCTCTCCTCCCTTCACAGGCCCCAGTGCAATGCATCCTCCCTTGTGGTTTCCCCAAACTCTGCTTACACCTTTGTAAATAGTCCCTTTATTAAAAGCTCCTCAAATTACCCAATTTAAGCGAGCCATCTGTTTCCTGTCAGGACCCTGACAAATCCTACAAATGACGAATTTTCCATATCCCAAACATCAGACATATACTACCAATTGTCACAAAGCAATAATCATTTATTTATTTTTTGAAAAGTTGTTTACAGATATTTATAGGCAAATGGATTTCTACTTTTAGACAGATGAAGATAAGAGTGTGTCACTGAAATAGCATGCAAACATTTCCTCTGTGGGTTCATTTTGTTTTAACTATGTCTGTGGTTTTTGTTAAGTGCGGTTTTTGTTAAGTGCAGTGTTTGCTCATCCAACTACTACACCATTACCTACAAAAACTGACTATCCTTGCGTACTCTCACATCTTTTATATTCTCTGCATCTATTTGTACCAGAAACTTTTTTTTTTTTGCTACATAGCACTCTGCTCATCCAGACCAAGAGAGACCACAGTCCTGCCTTGTCTCTGATAAAGGTGATTAGATCACCCATAAGTTTCTATGATCTATACCTATGCTAATCCCCTTTATGAAGATAGATAATCAAGAACTAAGATGTATGCAAAACTGATGGAAAATATATTATTTCCTAGTTGTATAAAAGGAAACAAGGCTACCTAAGAAATTAATGGCACTAGAAGTAAAATAAACTCATAAGCCTTTACACAAAAATATTAGAGTTCAGTGTGCTTAATTTCTATGCAAAAGAATTTTCCCATATTTTATTTAAAACTTAGCAAATATATCACAATTACAAATATTAAGTTTTATCTACATAGCCAACATGAAGTGGAGTTAAGGCAATTGTCCAGATGACTCAGGAGAAAAAAAAAAAAAAACACTCTAAAGTAATGGTCAGATGTCTAAACACAAAGGCAAGTAAATTTTCTGCTACTAAGAACAACTAAATCCACTTCTACCATCATCACTTATATTATTCCCAAGTTTCAATGATTTTGACTGAGAGGTTTGGGGTCTCCACTATGTGAATGTTTATCTCTGTGAGTACTGACACAGACTCAAGGTAAAAAATGAAGTATTTTACAGACTGGTTATCAATACTCACCCCTAGTAAATGGAAAATTTGCTTTTTATAGACATGTGATGACTGAAATGGATGTATGAATTCAACTAGTCCAGTTCCCTCATTTCATAGACAAGGAAAATGGAGTCCAGACAGATTCAGCAACTTCTTCAAGATCACATTGATGACTGCCCACAGAGTTTTTTTTCTCTGTATAATTAATTTGGACTTTAGTTCACCAGCTGGTCGACAGGCAGAAAAAATTTCCAATTACTGCATGCGATGTTTTTTCCCTTCTGCCTTTTGTCTGGTTACATCTAAAAAAGGTGCTAAGAATACATGTAGATGAGGGACTAAGTTTTCATTTCAGCCAAACAAGAGAATATTTTCCCACACTTTCAAATAAATTCTGCACTCCAAATAAAAATGGAGCCAATAAAGATATCGAATATGAAGTGTTCATTTGTTTGCCATCTTTTAAATCTGTGCACTCATGAACTATCTTTTTGTGAGAGGGAAGAAGGATAAATATGATGAAATCAGAAATGACTGATAGATTTGGTCTCTCAGTTTGTTACATGCTGTCTACAAATGATCCAAACAGCAAAGACTGAGAAATCCTAGGCCAAAGAATTTGGGCTGCAACACTTTGACCAGCAAATGGGACAGACCAATGCTTCAGTGGGTTTTGGTTTGATTCCACTGGCATAGACACTGTCCAAATTCAATGTCAAATTAATTTTAACATTGCAGTGAAAGTGCTACTAAACAGAAAATGCAATAAAGTCAATAGCTATCAAGCAAATTGCTTATTTTTGTAAGAAGGAAACCTTTTTTTTTCTTTTTGGCAAATGGTTCTGTAGTTATAGAACAAGAAGACATTTAGAACTAATCTCCCCGATATGAAAATGTCCCAAAATAACCAAGTTGAAAGGCACATACCACTGCCCCAGCAGTTCATTCAAGTTGTCTTTAGCATGTGAAGTTTTAATTGTGCTTTTTAGTTTGTTATCAATGTATTCTGGCCTTAAAAAGTGACATCCGTGCATATGCATAATTTCTTTTCAAATGGACCAATCCACTTCCCCTTTCTGAATTTTCACTTTCTGAAGATCAGTTTTGTTAGTTCTTTGTTTTACAAAGGACCTAGTCCACATCGGTCTTGGAAAGACGCACTTCACAGTTTGGGCTCTATTTTATGTAGAAGCCAAGTTTGTGTCCTAACACAAAATGGAGTTTCCTGAAATATCAGTGGGATGACACTTCCATATCGTCATTTGTTGGAATGCAAAAGTCCTGGATTATTATCTTTTCTCACTGGTTGTTTAAGGTTCACTTCACTTCCAGAAGAGATGATTGGCAAACTGTTATCCATGTGGTATCTGATCAGATGACCAACATTATCAAATACATGGTCCTTGGTCCTTACCTTGAAAAGGAAGTACAAATACATTAGGTTAAATGATAATATTTCTCCTAAAACATGTAAACAATCAGGGGGAACAAACAAGACATATCCCTGAAAGATATTTGGATGAGTAAACAAAAGGTACTTTTCAACTCTTTCAGTAAACAATTTTCTCATTCCCAGTACCCTTTTAAAGCAACTATCTCTTCCAGTAAGGAAAATGGGAAGCATTTGTGCCAACTCCAAATTTGCAATCAATCTCCTTGCCATGTTACTGTTTGACGTATTCTGTCCTGTCATCATTCCAATAAATATTTAAGTGGGGTGTACACAAGCATGACTTCCAGGGTCACAATTAAATCCCATCTAGCAGAGTACTTCTATATTCTCATCTCTTCAGGATGTAGGATTTCTGAAGAAGTCTTACTCCCTTTAGATGTTCAGCACAAATCCTGTCTCATCCAAGAAGTCTCCCCAAATCTTTATGATAGATGTTAACATCACCTTCTGGACGACTTCATGGTAGCTGATTTTATAAATATTTGTTACATGGAACTTCTTATTTGCATGTCAAAGGAACTAGGCCATGACTTTTCCTGTGGACTTTCCTCCCTAGTATTATTGGATTCCTACCATGTATGCGTGGGCAGTAGACATTCCTCTCCATCATGATTCCACTGGCCTGGAAGCCTGGCCATAATGCGCTCCCTGTTTGGAGGGTAGATGGGGAATGTCCAGGGAAGGGAAGGTGTAGAGCCAGGGAAACCCTCAGTTATATAACACTATTACCTCTCTACAAGGGATTCTTTGAGTTCTGTCTAGATGTTGGTTTTCAGAATATTGAAAACATGTATTTAAGGGAATAATTGACCAAATTTGGATGTGGACTGTGATTTAGATAATGGTGCTATATCAATGTTTAAATTTCTTGATTTTGATTACTGTGCTTTGGCTGAGTAAGGTTATATCCCTATTCCTTAGGAAACACACACTCAAAGACTAAGAGAAAAAGGATACAATGTCTCCAACTTGCTCTCAAGTATCCCTGGAAGATGATTTAATCTCCTACATCTCATCTCACCCTACATCAAATCAATTGATCAGTCTCACCCATTGTATTCTTAATTCCAGCTCACTCAGGCTTCCCCTCCTGCCTCTATTCTGGTTCAGGCTTTTACCTAGAAAAAGTGGATATGACACCAGGACACTTCTTTTACCTACTTACTTTCTCTGGCCCTGGTCATTTCCCTTCTCTTCAATTCATCCTGCACATAAATGTCAAACTAATCTTCCTAATGCAGAGATTATAACCTACTCGCTTTCTGGCTAAATACACTAGGGAACCATTTAATTTGCTGGGGAGTAAGGCAGAAGGTGTCCAACAGAGAATTTTTAGTATTTTGAATTAGTGAGGAGATTTCATATAAAACTCTGTTCTTAAAAAATCTGATTTTGGGGCCTCCCCGGTGGCGCAGCGGTTGAGCGCTGGGTTGCGAAGCTGCCCGCGGCCTCTGCGGCGCCGGTTCGATCCCCGGCTGCTCCCCGGCCACCGGAGGAGGCTCCCACATGGCGCGCAGACCTCTCCTGCCGCCCGCTGCTCCCCTCAGCAGTGTACTTCAGTCCTTCTGCCTGCTCTGCTCCCCGCTCTGGCTCTGGTGAATTCTCTCACCCTCCCGCGCTTCTGACTGTACCCAGTGCATGTAAAAACAAAACAAACAAACAAATAAAATAAATAAATAAAACATGCCTCTATAAAAAAAAAAAAAAAAATCTGATTTTGTGGCGCTGGGTTGCAAAGTTGCCCGCAGCCTCTGCAGCGCCGGTTCGATCCTCAGCTGCTCCCCGGCCACCAGAGGGTCCCACACGGCACGCAGACCTCTCCTGCCGCCCGCTGCTCCCCTCAGCAGTGTACTTCAGTCTGCCTGCTCTGCTTCCCGCTCTGGCTCTGGTGAATTCTCTCACCCTCCAGCGCTTCTGACTGTACCCAGTGCTTGTATAAATAAATAAATAAATCTTTTAAAAAAAAATCTGATGTTGTGATTTCTCTGGAAAAATAAAATCTGGCTGCACTGAGCCCCTACCCTGAGCAGTGACCCTTCCCCTTGTAGGACATGTACTTTTCAGTTCATCAAGTTCATTGCACCCTATGTGCAAGTACATCAATTGTCCTCCTTTGCACACTTACAGTACTGGCCAGGACCTGCAAACATTTGCCACTGTAACCCATATCACATAGGTTATTTTTTAATTGTGGTAATAAACACATAACAAGATCTATGCTCCAAACAAATTTTTTTTCAAAGAACTTATTTATTTTTGTGTAGAAGAACTGTGGTGCAGGTGCAGGTGCAGGCTAGAGATGCAGGGAGGTAAGAAGATTCACCAGAGACAGAGTGGGGAACAGAGCAGGCAGATTTACTGAAATACACTGCTGAGGGGAGCAGCAGGCGAGGCAGGAGAGGTCTACTGCGCCATGTGGGTAGCTCCCTGACCAGGGATCAAACTCAGGCTGGGGCAGTGAGAGTGCAGAGACTGAATCCCTAAACCACCAGGGAGGCCCCCAAACAAATTTTTAAGTATACAGTGGGAGTTAACGAAAGTACAATGTTGTATACCAGATCTCTAGAATTTCATCTTATATGACTGGAACTCTGTAACCTAATAAATAGAGGTCCCCTTCAACCCCTTCTCCCTACGCCTTGGCAATAGTCATTCTGCTTTGTATTTCCATCAGGTGGACCACTTTCAATACCTTATGTGTATGATGTATACATCACATTTTTAATCCATTCACCTATCAATGAACATTAAGTTGATTTCTAATTCTTGAATATTAGGAACGATGCTGTAGTGAACGTGGGAGTGCAAGTATCTCTTTAAGATACTGATTTTAATTCTTTTGGATAAATACTCAGAGAAAGGATTGTTGAATTATATGGGAGCTTTAGTCTAAATTTCTTGAGGAAACTCCACAGTGTGGCTTTTCCATCATGGCTGCACCATTTCATATTCTCATTGCCAGTGGACAAGTGTTCCAATTTCTGCGCATCTTTGTCAATCTTCCTATTTTCTAGTTTTTTTATAATGGCACTTCTAACAGGTATGAAATATCTTACTGTGAAGATTAGTATTATCAAGCATCTTTTCACATACCTATTGACCACTTGCATGTCTTCTTTGGAGAAATGATGGTTCAATACACTGCCCATTTTTTAACTGGGTTATTTGTTATCAAATGGCAAGTTATCCTTAGATATTCTGAAAATTAACTCCTTACCACCTGTATAGTTTGCAAATATATTCCCCCATTCGTTCACCTGCCTTTTCACTTTATTGTTTTCTTTGATGTGCAGAAGTGTTTTAGCTGATGTAGCCAACCTTGTCTATTTCTGCTTTTGTTATCTTTGTTCCTGGTGTCATATCCAAGAAACCAAGAAGCAAGACCAATGTTATAAAGCTTTCACCTTATATTTTCTTTTAGGAGTTTATAGTTTCAGGTCTTACAGTGAAGTCTTGAATCTATTTTAAGTTGATTTTCGTGTATGGTGTAAAGGTCCAATTTCATTCTTTTGCACATAGATATCCAGTCTTCCCAACACCACCTGAAGTGACTATCCTTCCCCAATAGCTTATTTTTGATAACTTCATCAAAGTTCATTTGAATATTTATGTATATATTGGACTCTATTCTGTTCCTTCAGTTTTATGTCTGTCTTTATACTAGTGTCATATTGTTTTGACTGCTGTAGCTTTGCAGTGTGCACTTAGGTCAGTAAATATGATGCCTAAACTTTGTTCTTCTTTTCCAAGATTGTTTTAGCTATTTAGGATCTTCTGTGGTTCCAAAAGAATTTTAGGATTTTTTACTATTTCTGTAAAAAATGTTATCATAATTTTAATATAGACTGCAATGAATTTGTAGATCATTTTGGATAGCATGGACATTTAAAAACATTAAATTTTCCAATCCATGAACATAGGATGGCTTTCAATTAGTGTCTTCTTTCATTTCCTTCAGAGTTTTGCAGTTTTCAGTGAACAAGTCTTTTGCCTCTTTAGTGTTTCTTATTCATAAGTAGTTTATTCTTTTTGCTACTATCATAAATAGAATTCTTAATTTCCGTCTCAGACTGTTCATTGTTAGCATATAGAAATACAACTGATTTTTTGTACATTGATATATTCTACAATTTACTGAAACCACAAATTAGTTTCAACAGGTTTGTTTTGTCTTGGTGTGGAACATTTAGGATTTTCCCATACATAAAATCATGCCACCTATTAACAGAGATCATTTTACATCTCCCTTTCTGATTTGGATGGCTTGTATTTCTTTTCCTTGCCAAATGCTCTGGTTAGCACTTCCAGCACTAAGTTGAACAAAAGTGGCAAGAATGGGCATTTTTTTCTTATTAATGATCTTAGAGGAAACATTTTCAGTTTTCACCACTGAGTATGGTATTAGTTGTGGGATTTTCATGTATAGCTTTAAACTGTTGAGGTAATTTTCTTTTATTCTTAGCTTGTTGCATGTTTTTTTTTTTTTTTCCTCATGAAAGGGTGTTGAATTTTGCCAAATATTTTTTCAACTATTGAGATGATCACAAATTATAACTTTTCATTTGTTCATGTGATGTATTATATTGATTGATTTTTCATATGTTAAACCATTCCAAGGATAAATCCTACTTGGCCATGGTGTATGATCCTTGCAATCTACTGTTCAACTTTGTTTGCTAGCATTTTGTTTAGGATTTTTGCATCTATGTTCATCAGGGATGCTGGTCTGCAGTTTTCTTATAGTGTCTTTTCTGGTTTACGTATCAGAAAACAAGGTTACGGATGCTTACCTTGTAAAATGACTTTGGAAGTGTTTCTTCTTCAATTTTTGCTTGGAAAAGTTTAAGAGGCATTGGCATTAATCCTTCTTTTAATGTTTGGTAGAATTCACCAGTGAAGACATCTGTTTCTGAGCTTTTCTTTATTAAGAGTTTTTGATTACTGATTCCATCTGCTTGCCA